TCAGAACACAAGAAAGTTTCAAAACTATTAATTGGTACACATGAACACATCGGAAGCGGAAAACAAGGGGAATTGGAAGGAAACGATTCTTTGTTTCAAAGGGCTCTATAAGACTATTTCATATGTGATAAAAATCCTCTAGAGTTCTTTTTTTTTCAAAGGGGGCCTCCTATGATTTTCCTTTCTTTCAAAGAGGCTTGATTTATAGGAAAAACATATAAATTTGGAGGATTTCAACCCCATAAAAAATAATTGGAAGATCTTTGAAATAAAGGATTAAATCCTATCATTTTCTCTGAAATTCCTATGAAATGGACAACCCTATGAAGATTTTAGAGGAAAGTTAGCAATAGTTCCAACCTCATGGAAAATTCCTTTGAGTCTATCTTTCTCATATGATTCACGTGTTCTTCTATGATATATTCAAACAATCATTATTTTTTTCTTGTGTTTTACAGCCTTCTGTTTTGTCCTTGCATTTCTATTAAAATCTTGTGTTTTCATATTCCTCCTTTTCTTTCAAACCTGCATTTCAAAGAATCAATCATAAATTATATCTTTATCTTTAATTCCATATTTGCAATATTTAGATTCCATCTAACACCATTCCTATAGTGTTATCTCATTCACATTGCATGGATGATCAACTTCGTTTCACGGTTGGTACGCCATTATTTGCGCTGTAGCGATTGCATGATGTCTTGGACTTGTTCTAGTTGCTAGCCATTTCGTTAACATCACATTTGATCAAAGCAAGATATATCATTTACATTATGGATTTGTGACATGTAAAATCCATATGGGTCTTTATATAATGTCAAATGATCTAATCTAACAACTATAGGTCTATCAAGTAGATTACGGCATGATGTTTCCATGACAAAATATTTTCGTTGTTTTTTTAATTGATTATGAAATAATATATGGCAGAAAATTTACTCCGCAAGAAATAAGAATATAGTTTCACCTAAAGTTAGGTGTGTTTTAATTATGATTTTGTGGGTTAATTAAACTATACACATAGGGGTGATAATAATGCTCGGAGGATCAAGAAGCATATACTATTACGAATCATGACCTGGGTTAATCAATAGTTTTGTAGTTTAAAAGTATATGTATTATGAATCACGCAATCCCTTCTTCCTATAAAGTTATCCCCCACTAACTGCAATTAAGACCCTAAAGCTCAATCCTCAATGATCCACGTCATCAACACTTCTCAGCCATTGGATCAATGGATATGATAACGTCTCAGCCGTTGGATCAGAAAAATGCAGCACGCTCAAATGAAAACAGCCCAACCATCTTCTCTCACACAGCCAACCCGTGAGGCCCATTTAGCTAATTCGATCCAACACAGCCCAACCATCATCTCTCACACAGCCACCCCAATTCGATCATGGCCCATTCAAGAATAAAGGATTTATTAGGGTTTTGTTGGATCGGTGGGGTCTTATCCTAACAGAGCAAACCATCCACGCCGCAATGCAGTCGCGCAACCGTTTCTCCCTCTCGCGCCAACGCCGCGCTCGCTTGCCCCCTCCTCTTCGGCCCTTCCTCTCCCTGCCAGCGCCCGCCTCTCAATCTCTCCCTGCGGCCAGCGCTCCACGAGATCACGACCCTTTGGTTCGCCCCTTGAGAGCGTGGTTATTACCGAGCTATTAAAATAGGGAAGTCCAGTAGTCGGTGAGATATGTAACCGATGTGCAACACCAAGAAGACAACATCATCCGCGGATTTCACTTCTCTGGCTATCCAACAAATCTCATCGACCATGGCCAGACTTTCTTTTCTTCCAGCCGGGAGTTCAGAGAGCGAGCCATCGGAAGAGTCTGTCATGGATTTAATTTTGATCACCGCACTCACGGGATTCATTTGCAGAAGTTCAGGGTCTTTTTGTCATCCAGTCTGTGGCTGCAAGCCTGAGGCTCAGATGGGAAGTGAGGTTAGTTGTTCAACAAAAAATATTGTGCCGTCTTCTGTTGCCCAACTCATGGTCTGTAGCTAGCTCCTAATGCTGTGCTATGTAATATGACCACTCTACGTTTCTTATGCTGATCTATATTACTTTTATTTTTCTATAGGGAAATCACTTTTATATCCTCTATATCAAAGCTGTAGGCAAGAAGAAATCATTCTTATTGAGATTGAATTGTATTTCTCTCTTCATTCCATCAATGGCTATTTGGAGAACTATTTCGATACTGCAAAAATTTTCTTTCTATATATGTGCTACACAGGAATGGGTTATGGCAGTTTGTAGAACTATTTGGTTACCGCAACAATTTATCGAAGGTATGATTCATGTGTCTCAAACTCCTCTTCCTTAATTATACAAAGTCAGCTATTCTAAGAAAATAAAATATCATGAGAATATTTGGTTTTTTATCTCAATGTCCGCCCATTCAAAAGGTTCATGGTCCTCAATGTCGGCCCATTCAAAAAGTCTTAGAGAGCATGACTCTTTAGTTCGATTGGTCAGTCTTAAAACAAAGAAATTAGTTTTGTATGATAGCAATCAAGTTCCTTTGATAATCAATTTTAATATTTTACTAATATGTTTACCACAATCGGTTTACAAATTTTAATATTATTCACAAGATTTCCTGCTGCAACGCGCGGGGTCTCATCTAGTTCTTAGGAAAAGTATGCACTCATGATTAGGCTTTTCTAGATCATATTTATGTGGACTTCCAAATAAAGTGATATATAAAAGGTACACACTTAGTGAACATGATTTTAAAAGCATCGTCAAGGTGTTGTCGTGAGGCAAAGTGTTCAGGACACATATCCTTCCACACGGTTAGGCGACCCATATTTCTTCAAATAGAGGAATAGGGCCACATGGTGGTCTATATCACGCGCTTGGGATGAAAATCATGCTGAATTCTGAGGGCGAGGCTATGGGTCAAGGTTGCGTGAGGAGAAAATTGCTGTTACGTGAGGGGCACAATTAGAAGATGAGATAAGGAAACAACTGAAGGTGCAATTGGAGGAGGAAATAAGAAAACAATAGAAGAAATCAATTGGAGGAAGAGGTAAGGAAACAATAGAAGATAAGCACCTAGAGGCTAGACCTTAGTGACGATGGCAACATTCGTCTTGGTCTTACCCCCTCTTCTTCGATGTATCCACACTTCCTTCTTGGGTAGGGCACAAATAAATTTATTTGTGCCCTCCATCTCCCTGCCAGCACCCTTCCTTCTAAGAGTCATCCTGCAGGCTCTCTGTTTGTTGTGCTCTTTCGCTCATTTGCTCTTCTTCATATGTTCTGCTATGCTTTTTACACTCTCTACTGCTTAGGGAAGAGAGAATGGTAGATAGATATGATGAAGAATTGGTAGCAAGCTTGGGAAATGAAAGAATGGGAGGCACAAGGTATTTAAAATTGGCAGCAACAAGGTATGTTTATACAATAAAATTTAGGAATATATGTAGGTTAGGAATAGGTTACACGTCGCCTCGAATCACACCTTGAACGTGAAGCTTGCCCTTGTCGCATTGAATAAAGTTTTGTTTCTAAAACCTACAAATGGTTGTTGCTGTAGTTTGGAGACTAGTTTTCTATACTGAAGTAAGATTGAATTTTAAGTTCGTGGGAAATAGGAGCGATCATAACCAAAGTGCATACGTTTAAGCGTAATTCGATCATGTACACTCACTTTATTTCGGATAACTTGAAATTGAAGGTCTATTCCTATATTAGTGAGTCGACTCTACATATCAGCACGTTATAGTAAACCCTCAATTTTCAATCTAAATGAGGTTGCATGATCAAATTTCTCCGCTTTATAAGCATAATTGATATGTATATGGATATACAATTTTGTTTAGATAACTACATTGGATTTAGACTTGTCCTAGAAAAAGTGTTGAGCGATTTGGGGTTTCGATTGATGCATCATTATTCATTAGTTGAAACATGGTCCTCTTTTAAGGAAATGATAGCAAACACATTTTTCAGCTAAATAATGGGTGCAAAATTACAAAGTTCAGAAAACAGAAACAAAATCATCTTCGAAATTAAAAATAAGGGAAAGATTGTAATCACCCATCTACATTACATTCAACCATGTATTATGTTGTTTTGTACTACAACTTATACAGTTCACACCAGTTCTAGTTCTACCTGACGACTGATCTTACATACATGTATATAGGGCCTGCTTGGTTGGTGCCCTGAGTATCATGCCTGAGGAATTTGCGTGCCTGAGAGGCATAGGAGAAGTTGATGAAACTTGCCTGGCCTGGCGGCCTGACATTCTGCTTGTTTGGTTGTGGATAGTTGCCTGAGAGGAAAAAAATCTTTACGTTTTAGATGGGTACTGCTAACCATAACAAACCAATTTATTGCCCAGCTTTTGATGTATTAATCATTTGCGTACGTCAAGATGGAAAAAAGAACGAAGAACACAAGAAAAACAAAATCCCAAATCCACGCGTCTGGCAGAACACCAACCTAATGATTTTTGCCGGCTTCACGTACATAAAGAAGGGGAAAAAATAGAACAAAACTGCTGCTATCTGTGGGAGATCAGATGGGTCGCAGATGGAACTGACGAATCGAGATATTTCACCGTAGATTTGTGTGACGCCAGCCGGATCTGGCAAGATGGTGGTGGCTTCCCACGGCGGAGGCAATACTACATGCGCGTGACGACGGCGGAGGAAAATTATACGTCAGTAATCCTCGCTAGCTGCTGCGCCTGGAGCTCAGGCGACTGAAATAGGTCGCTTGACTCAGGCTAATCACGCGCGGAGATGCATCAGGCCAGCAACCAAACAAGGCCAAAACCGTGTAAGGCTCGTCTCAGGCCAAGCTAGTTCTCCTCAGGGTAGCAACCAAAGGGTAGCAACCAAACAGCCCCGTATACTCTGAATACAGTACTGTCGCAAGCGTCGCTTGTACCAATTGCTACTCAGGTAGGAAAAAAAAAACTGCCACAGTGGGAAAAAAATAATAAAAAACCAGGAAGAAAAGGCCACCGCTATAAATTATGGCTGTCCGCTAGGGTTTTCCGCCTTCTTATCTCTTCGCTTTCCCCCTCATCGCGGTCGTCGCCCCCCGCCGCCGCCACCTCCCAAACCCTAGCTCCCCCCGCGTCCGCCATGGCCGACGACCACTACTCCTCCAAGCGCAAGTACGACGACCCCTCGCCGCCCCCGCGTCGCACGGGCTTCTCCTCCGCCCCGCCGGCCGCCTCCCCGCCCTCGGGCGGCGCGCCGGCGTCGTACAACAGCGTGCCCCCGCCCCCCGCCGACGAGATCCAGCTCGCGAAGCAGCGCGCGCAGGCGATCGCGGCCAGGCTCTTCAACGCCGCCGAGGCGAAGCGCCCCCGCCTCGACGCCGGCGGCGACGACGACGACGCGGGCGCCGGGGTGGGTTCCCTCGGCAGCAGCGGCGGCGGCGGCGGCGGCCGCGCGACCGGGCTCGGCTTCTCGTCCTCGGCCGGTGGCGGTGAGTTCCCCCGCGCCTTCTCGTTAAACCCTTGTTAGATCGGGAGATCTTGTTTTTGTTTTCTCGTCGTTAGTGGCAGGCTCGTAGCTGCTGTGATGTGGATTTAGTTAGGGTTTTCCTTTGCTTGAATTACTCTTCGATTTGTCTCTTGGATTACAAGATCTGTCAGCCTGAGATGTTACCTGATTTCAACCCCTTACGATTAGGCAGTGAGAAGTATGGTTTACTTTTGTTACAGTCTGCAAGTTAGTAAGCTGCAAGTACTCGTGCACGATCCCGCGGTTTACATGCAGTTACACCATGGCTTTGTTGATAGCATGACGCCTTGTCATGTGCAGATGAGGATTTACCATAGTATCTACCTGCATATAGTTAATAATGCTGTTCTAGTGTTGTAGGAAAACTTCATCGGGCAGAATTATGTGTTAAACTGTTGTTGCTTGTCACGTTCTGTGGTTATGTGGATGCTGCAGCGCGATCTGTTTGTGTTATCATGATTGTCACCATTATACTCTGCCTCCTTTTTCGTAAAAATGGTATATGGGATATTCAACTGTACCACATTCACTTTACCATGGTATCGATTACCTTTTTATGATTGTATTATTTCCTTCTATTGAAGTACCCCTATGTCTATTGTTTCATTTAAATTGTTTGTTTACTTCACTTTTATTATGGATTTACCCATCTACGTGCTGCCTGTTATATCAGGGCACGGATCTGCTATCCCATCTTTATCTTCTCATGGCAGCACACCTCAGTACTCCTCATATGGTGGATACCAGGGTACAAGCAAAACAATTGAAATCCCAAATGGAAGGGTAGGCTTTCTTAGATTTACCTGTTCCAATGACTAACTTTTTTGTGATGGAATGAATTTCACATCAACTGGTCTTGCTAACAAGTCTGGTGGCCTAATGCAGGTTGGTGTTATCATTGGAAAGTCGGGAGAAACTATAAAGAATCTCCAACTTCAGTCAGGAGCTAAGATCCAAGTGACAAGAGACCTTGATGCTCTACCTGGCTCACAGACAAGACCTGTTGAACTTTCAGGCACTCCTGATCAGATAAGCAGAGCTGAGCAATTGATCAATGAGGTCCTGGCAGAGGTAATCCTGTTACGCTCGTGGCTTTCCTTTTACCATTTTAGGGATGACTTGACATTAGCTGAACATCTTGTTCGATGGCCATACTTATTATTCATGTAACCTCTTCTGCAGGCTGATGCTGCTTCATCTGGTAATCTCTCTAGCCGAAAGTACAATGCTCCTCAACCAGGCGCTGATCAATTCCAAATGAAAATAGCTAACAATAAGGTAATCCACTTTTCTGAATTAAAGTTAGCTTGATGCTATTGAAAAAAAATCACAGTTCTGCTAAAAATACAATGAGGATGAGGGTCTCGGTGACAATTCCACATCTGACGTAATAATTTTGTTTATTTCAGGTTGGTCTGGTTATTGGAAAGGGTGGTGAGACTATAAAATCCATGCAAGCCAAATCTGGTGCTCGTATACAGGTCTGTGTTCTTGCCCTGCAAATTCACGCTTTAGGCAAGGGCGTTCATGACATGGCACTATTGTTTTTGTTATAATACTTTTTTTTCTGCATTGTAATTTTGTTGGCTAAGACTACCGAAATGACACACATGCTTGCCTGTTTGCATATGAAATATCTGAAGCATGCTTACTATATGAACTGGTTGCTTCCAGCATTTCTATACCTTTTATGTTCTCATGTGCACATTTGCAGGTTGTCCCTTTGCATTTACCCCCTGGTGATCCTGCAACCGAAAGAACAGTGTATATTGATGGTACACAAGAGCAAATTGAAACTGCAAAGCAATTGGTGATTGAGGTTACCAGTGAGGTCCGCTTTTATCCCTTGTCATATTTGTTGCCTGATTTCATGATTGCTATGCCAATTTGCGACTTATCTGTGGTGTTAAAACAATTCTGCCTTCTTATTTTTTTTGGTTAATTTTGGATCCTTATGTTTTATCCTTCCCCCCTAATTGGCCTTCCTTTCTTTACTTGTTCTTTTTAAAAGAAACATTTGCCTTACTTTTGCTTCTGTGATGGCCTATGGTTCTCTGACAATAATGTTCATGACATCTTTATGTACACATATTAGTCATGGACTCAGGGTATGCCGTCAACATGCTCCCACACATGAGGGTGCCATACTATCTTTCTAATACACACACAGTTTCCAATATCCGATGCACAAACTGATTTATAATTTTTTTTGTCTTCATAGCTGCTCTATTGATTCTCATTATTTTAAATGTGTACAGTTAAAATAATCTTCTAACTATTGATGCAAAAATCTCCATTATACCCTAATAGTACTCTTGGATCAATGTTCTGATTTGTTAGCTACATATTGTGTGTGCTTGGTGCTGCCTATTCAACTCTGAACTATATTCTTATATTGATTCTCTCAATTAATGTATATATTTCCCATCTCCAACTATATTTTTATATTGATTCTCTCAACATAATACTGTCCATACCTTGGTATGTGGCACACACATCTACACTGGAGACCAGGTTTGTTATGGCATAAATTTTCATATTCGGGATCCTGCTTGATAGAAGATTAATTTTTAACTAATAGTTTGGATATCTGTTTGTGATCTAACCTCATATACCTGGTCTCGTATAACTTTTAAGTTGGGCTGGTCCCTTATCTCTTTTGTGGATAGTTTGTATACATTGCTTTACTCAAGTGAAATACATGGGTGGTGTACATATGTTTGCAGGTTGTGCAATTTAGGTGCAGGTATTTAGGCTACAGTTTTGTTTTGCTGTTTTAGTACTCTATATATATCACTTCTGGCGCCTTTGCCTTGCGCACTATTTGATGCTTAATTCTCGGTATGGATGGGCGCTGGTCACTACATGTCAACTCACTCTAGTTCAATCAAATGAACTAGTGGGCCGATTGGTACTCACATAGTGACCCGTGTCCATCCCTAATTCGCAGCCCATGATATTTGCTCTCTTCAAGTTGGGAGTAGCATGTAATTCGAACTTGATGTTACTCTAATAATAACCCTGAAAATCTATATAGTTCAAACTTAGATTCATGTAACAAGGGCACGTTGGATTCCTTATTTGTTTATTTCTCGTCTATATTTTCTCCTCTGTGAACTTGCAGGTTACCATACCTAAGCTGTTAGAAAACTGCAAAATATTTCTCCTTTGTTTATACCATATTCTTGGAGGAGACCATGGACAAAAGAAATTATTGGTGCTTATCTGTTTTGATTATCAATGAAATAGATATTTTACTTAGTTGAGTAGTATAATCACTTATCAGTCAATTATTTTTGACCTGTCAACATATATAAACTGCATGGCACTCTTCTATTGCTATTCAATATATATGTTCGTCTAGATGTCCAATCTTCTTTAGCCCCCATAGTTTTGCACATGGGAGACGATAGATGGGCATCAGCAATGTTGCTTGAGAATATTGATCTCGGTGAGTTTTGCTCCCTCTATTTTTCTTGGTGGTTCTGGAATTTCTGTATGTTACTTTGCTTTGGATTTGTATATGTTTGTCTGTCTTTTGCACTGCTGTTCTGCATGGTTTGTCGTATATTATTTTGTTGTATATACATATACAGATGTGCAAACTATATTTTTGCAGAATCGTGCTAGAAACCCAATGTCAGGTGGCTATTCTCAGCAGGGCTATCGCCCTCCTCGTCCTCAGTCAAATTGGGGTCCGCATGGGGGGGCACCGATGCAACAGCCTGGTTATGGTTACATGCAGCCTGGAGCCTATCCTGGGGCACCCCCACAATATGGCGCTCCTCAGCAACCTTATGGTAGCTACCCTCCAGCATCTGGGGGTTATCAGACTGGGTGGGATCAATCATCAAATCAGCAATCTCAGCAGGCCCCCCCTGGCACGGGCTATGATTATTACAATCAACAGCAGCAACCTCAACAGCAACAATCTGCCCCTGGGACTGCTGCACCTGGTGATGCTACTAGCTATAATTCCAGCCAGCCTCCTGCATATGCTTCCCAAGGGTATGATTCGTCCTACGCTCAGCAGAGTGGTGGGCAGCAGCAGGCATATGATTATTCTAGTTATTATCAGACCCAAGGGCAGCAGCAGGGCTACTCTCAGCAGACTGGATATGATCAGCAGGGCTATGGAACTTCTGGCTATGGGTCCGCCGCTAATTCAACTCAGGATGGGTCCGCACCAAGCTATGGTGCTCAAGGTGTAGCTGGTCAAGCATCTCCTGGGCAGCAAACTTCAACTCCTGCTGCTGGAAGCCACCCTGGCTATTCAAGCCAACCACCTACTAGCGCTGCTTCAAGCTACCCGGTGCAAGGGTCTGCTCCTCAGTCTGGATATGGGGCGCCACCACCACAGACTGGCTATGGTACCCAGCCCCAACCACAGGGAGGGTATAGTCAGGGCAGCTATGGCGCACCTCCGCAGGGACAGAAGGCTCCTCCTAACACTTCTCCTTACGGACAGGCGCCGCCTCCTGGATCTGCTCCTGGTGGGTATGGCCAGTATGGTTACTCTCAGAACCAGCAAGGCTATGGCGCACCTCCACCTTACCCTGGTGCACCTGCTGCAAGCCACCCAGGCTATGGTCAGCAGCAGTCCTATGGTGATCCTTATGGCAGTGGAAGCTACGGGCAGCCTGCCGCATATTCTACTGAAGCTACAACTGCTGCTGCCTCCCAGGACCAATCTGCTTCCGCCCCTGCGACTGGTGCTGCGCCTGCGACAACCGCTGCTCCGGCACCTACTGCTCCTGAGAACAGTGGAGCCCAAAGCCCTGCTAGTTAAACCTGCAACTCAAGCTTTAAGCTTCTTTTAGAGAGGGGTTTCCGGATTTATGTGTTGAAATTGTTTTTTGTTGCTCCTTAATGTTGACTTGTTTTAAATATAGACTGTTATTATTGTTTAGTATTGCGTTATGTTATGTTACTTTTGATACATATGCAGGCTTGACTGTGTGCTTAATGTGCCGTGTTACTGCCATGTAAGCTGGACGTTATATCCAAATCTGAGCCCTACTTTTGCAATAGTTGTCTGGTCTAATATTTCTTGCGGTGGGTTGGATTGATATCGATTGTTTTTGTATGGAAATTTTAAGTTATGTTTTGTTAGGTGTGTTTCGTGTAAAAAGCACCGCCATCCCGAAATCCTATTTCAGCGCCAATTCATCATCATCTCTGTTTTCTACTCGGACACAAGCTATATCCCAGAAAGTTTCCAATCCTACCCCAATTCATTATTCGAAACCTCGCTCCACTTCAATTTAATTCATCATTCTAATAATTTATTTACTGGATTCCTAATTTTCTGACGAAATCGAAGTTAGTTATTATACCCCGTATGTAAACCAGTAGCGTAGACGCGACGATTCTGAACTCCCCCATCACATCTCCGGCAATGGCGGCGGCGGCGGCGGCGGCGCCCCCCTCCTCCTCGTCGCTCGCGCCCCCCGAGGTGCCCATGGAGCTGCACGCCGGCAACCGCGATCGCCTCGTCGCCGCGCTCCGCGCCCACCTCTCCGCCTCCGGCCGCCCCCTCCGCGGCCTCGTCCTCCTCCAGGTCCAGCTCCCGTTTCGCCTCTTTTGTTGTTGTATTCCCCTTTTTTCCCGGAGGGTTTCCTGAAGGGCTTTTTCCGGCGATGTTGAACCCTTCGTCTTCTCCAGGGAGGGGAGGAGCAGACGCGGTACTGCACCGATCACCTCGAGCTCTTCAGGTAGTTAGCTGCTGCCCTGAACTCACTCAAGTCCGTGTTGTTACTGCATTATTGTATTTCTGTTTCATGGGACAATCAGATTGGGAGGTTGAGTGGAGATCGAGTGGAAAACCTGGATTGATTTTTTTTTTTTAACAGGCAGGAGAGCTACTTTGCTTATCTCTTCGGAGTGAGGGAACCGGGGTTCTATGGCGCAATCGTGAGTTTCTCTTGTTCCTCTTGCTGTTGCTCGGTGGACTAACCTTTCATTATTTTCCTGCGACTATTTGGTCCTGATATATTTGTTCATGAATTATGAATATATACATGCTTGGAAGATGGCATTGTCCCTGTGGTTATTGGCATGGTGTGTGTAGGTGAATTTTTCGGGACTTGTTCTTGCGTAGAAATGGTAGAGCTCCTCAATATATAGGTGAAATGTTTCTATGAATGTATATGTACTCACCTCGCTGTTAGTGTAATTTAATTTGGTGCTCATGGGGTTAACTCACTGTTCCATCCTGCTTAGTGGTTTGTTCACTTTCTGCATATTAGTTAGAACCACGGGAAAATGTTAGGATAGATTGGTGGTTGGTTCAAATCATTTCACTTGTCTTCCTACACAATCATGCTTATAAGGCAAAGATCCGTGACAATTATTGCGAATCGTTTTGTTTCTAAGAGCTTTTTGACAGTGTGGCAACAAGCCCCTGCTACTGCAGGTTATTCTGCATAGTTATATGATACTGGTTATTTGATATGACGTGTCCTAACTGAGTCTTTTGTTGTTCTGAAAGGACATTGTCTCTGGACAGTCAATTTTGTTCTCTCCAAGGTTGCCAGCTGATTATGCTGTGTGGATGGGTGAAATTAAGCCATTGTCTTATTTTAAGGTATTTGATCTTCTAGATACCACATTTTGCATTTTCTGCTAAAGTTTGAAGTTTGAACTAGCATCTTTGCATGAATCTATACAGGATAGGTACAAGGTCGACATGGTGTTCTATGTTGATGAGATCACACAAGTTCTGCAGGACCGTTTCAGCGATCATGGAAAGCCTCTTCTGTTTGTGTTATATGGAAAAAATACAGACAGCGGAAATTATTCAAAGCCTGCTAGTTTTGAGGTACTTAAAATATTAATGTATGCATCGTTAACATTAATTTTGTATTTGTAAAATACTGTAGATTGAAAGCATAATCAGGCATGTTGCTCTTGCAATACTGTTTTCTTTATTGTCTTCAATTTAGTCTCAAACAAGATCCATTTCCTTCTTATGATCTTCGACTTATTCTCCAAGAAGATCAAGATCCATTTGTGTATTATGATATGTGTAATCTATCAAGGCACTCAGTTTCTCTCACACTTCTCTGCTCACATTGTGCATTCAGGTTACAATGTTAATTTTTTTTTCTTCCTGTTTTTGCCAGGGGATGGAGAAGTTCGATTCCGATCTAAGTACACTTCACCCTATTTTAACTGAATGCCGTGTTATCAAATCTGACATGGAGCTTGCCCTTATTCAGTATGCTAATGATGTGAGCTCTGAAGCTCACATTGAGGTAACTACGGATACCGCTTAATGTAGTTTATTTTTTCTTTTCCTTTTCTTTAAAAGGGATCATATAGAAGCAGACAAATACTTGTAAGGTTACAAGAATGAGAAAAATATGATATGCATCAGTCAGTCCTACCACACCAGGTCCTAACGCATCAAGCAAAGTGCAATGCTAATAAAGTTATAATACTGGGACCCACTATCTGATTCAATTCATAAGAACATATGTTTGGCATTTAGGTAATTATAATTACTTATTGAGATGCAAATTATATTGCTGCACGTATTTACTTGCACTTCACAAGGTCATGAGACGAGCAAAACCAGGCATGAAGGAATACCAGTTAGAAAGCATCTTTCTTCATCATGTTTATATGTATGGGGGCTGTCGACATTGCTCTTATACATGTATATGCGCTACTGGAGAAAATAGGTGAGTGCTCCTGTTGCGAAGCAAATGCCTATATATGGACTGATTGGTATCTTTAAACGGTTTTTCACCCACTTTTGAGTATAGTTCAATATGTATAAGCCGAATAGTAAAGGAAGGATGATAGAATCCTAGATCCATTATCCACTGTTATTTTGCATGCTATTTCCTTTCAAAGTTGGGACAGTAATGTATAAAGTATTCTGATACCATGATCTTCTAGTGGAAGAGGTAGCAATTTTTGCAATAGAGTAACCTTAGTTCTATAAATAAGAGTACTCATTTCAACATTGATGTGTCAGTAGGGTCTCTCTTTTACCAGCATTCAGATCGAAGCTGGTAACTACCTATTTTTGGACTTATTTCGATACAAATGACTATGTAGACGTATATCAGGTCCAAATGTGACATTCTGAATGTGTTCTAAGTTCACTACTCTGTCCTAAGTCTGCATCTCAGATATTCATAGTTGAGTTGGTTGAACTATCTGGTGTTTTAACTCTTCTGCCTGTTGTGCAGTTCTGTTCTTCATTATGGACATGCTGCAGCACCAAATGACAGGGTACTCTTTTACGAAACTATGCGACTGTTGTTAATGTTTGTGTGCTATTTATTTACTTGTTATACCCACCACCAAGCAAAGCTTAACTTGTCCAAAGTGGCAAAGCGCTCAAACCTCTTATGATCATGCTGCCAGCTAATTGAAAATGGGGATGATTTGTTTTAATTTCAAGACAGTAGAGTTCACCTACCTTGTTCATCATCAGCTACAGTTTATTAAGTACCAATGTACCATGGGGTCTTGTAGTATTGGAAGAAAGAGCAACTTTCTCTTCTCTAGCTGATGTCACTATTCGTAGCAAACTTGGAGGTTATCTAATGGAAGCAGCCAATAGAACGAGTTGTTCTGGTGCTTTATTTAGTCGATAACTAGGTGGTATATCAGTGTATGAGTGTCTGCTATGCCACCTCTTTATACCGAGTTAGCTATAAATTGAATGTTCATTCTCTTCAATGAAGTATGTGAATGTGAATATGTGGTGGTGTAGTTGTCCTACGGGGACTATGAAACGCTAGACCATGCAGTCAATGATTTAAGCTACTATGCAGGTCCACATTACTAGCTAGCAGGAAAAAAACTGCAACTTAAATTATCCTTTTTTTTCCAGACCCTGAATGATGGAGACATGGCACTAATGGACATGGGAGGTGAATACCATTGCTATGGATCCGATATAACATGCTCATACCCTGTAAGTGTTTTGGAATATCCAGACATCTACTTTGATAGATATTTTGTTCCAACTTGCAATGTATTAGAACTGCTTTTTTGTTATTTATTGTTGAAATCTGTGACAACAGTGTACCTGTGCTAGAAACATGTACCAATAGATGTAAGCTATAATTATATTTGATGCTAACATATGGATGATATTGTTCTTACAAAATGTCCGGCAATTGAAAGAGGTCCTTTTTCTTAGTCCTATATATAGTCTCTTGTGTTATATAGCAAATTTGATTTCTTACTTTTTATTTTTAAGAATAATTTTAGGTATTTTTTTTACTTGTCTTAGTAATCATGAAAAGAGAGCTCAGCGATGAAAATAACAAGATAACCCCTAAATTAATCTTGAACCCAAACTCTAAAAATTATTTTCGAAGATCGGTCAAGCAAAGGCTTGTCTATGCTGCTATCTGACTATGCGTTATTTCTTTCTTAATTGCGTGTAGTTTGTTGGAGTTATATGAGATGATGTTCATTTCTGTTTTCCATTCTATGTTAGTTTGCTTCTGACATTTCCTTGACCATTGGCTATTTACCGCCCCCCCCCACCCCCCCCCCCACCCCCGCGCGCGCTTGCTTTTCCTGGGAGTCTTTTGTCTCCACCTTGTTTAGTCATCCTTATTAGTTTTTATCATCACATGCCATGGGTATCTGTTGGATGTATGTGTCCAGTTCAATAGTATCTAGCTGCCCTGAGCTTTTTTCCCCATCCAATATTATCTAGTTTCATCGTGGTGCTATTCCCATATTCTCTCAATTCAATTCTGATGCATATTTGTCTTATGATTCCTTTTGATATATATACTTTAGCTGACTTTGGGCAATTGGCTTATAGCTGACTTGAATAAAGTCTAGAATCTAGATTGATGCATAGCCTTATAACTCTAGAATCTAGATTGATGCATTACTTTTTAGCATAACTTTGATCAAAACCACACAATTGTCTCTTTGTCTTGTTCTGTCTATTGATATGATCTAAGTGAGTCTATATATTTCAGATAAATGGGAAATTCAACAGCAATCAGACAATAGTATACAATGTGAGTACTGATAAAAATCATTTTCTTTCTTCCTGATATATTTCTTGCCTGGCTGTTCTTTTTTATCTTTTGCAGGCTTCGTTAGGCTACTATCCTCATATAAAGAGTTCTTCATGTGAATTGAACTTATATGCATAGCACCATCTTTATATGAGATTATCTGTGTTTTACAGGCTGTCCTTAAGGCTCATAATGCTGTCATAGCACACATGCGGCCTGGAGTAAATTGGTTGGATATGCACAAGTAAGAATGCACTATTGCAATTTAAAAACCATGCATTTTAAACACGTCCTTTATGAAGTTCTGTTAATGAGTGAGTTCAATTATGATGCAACTTTCAATGCATGGAACTTTATTCAATCCATCTAATCCAGGAATATTTGCAATGCAACTTCAATGCATGGAACTTTATTCTATCCATCTAATCTAGGAATATTTGCAGTTGAATTATGCAATTTATCATGTTGATTTATGCAAAATTGAATTGTTTTCCCCTGTTTGTTCAAGCATAATTTGATGGTATTTGCAGACTTGCGGAGCAGACTATACTTGAATCTCTCAAGAACGAAAGAATTCTCCATGGGTGTGTATGCTTGCATTCATTGTACTGAATTACTGGTTGAACATCAGCCTGCAAAGCTTATGCCTGTGATGTTGATTTTTGCTGGTGTTTTATCCTTGGTCATCATTTGTTCAGGGATGTCACTGATATGATGGCTCAAAGGTTGGGTGCTGTTTTCATGCCTCATGGTCTTGGACACTTGCTTGGTATTGACACCCATGATCCTGGGGGCTATCCTGAGGTTATTTTAATACATACTTTATGCCATGAATTATCTTTGAGCATAGCTTTATAGTTCTAAATTGCTCCCTTCTTTTAACTGAGATGAATGTCCTTTTTTCTTGGCTTTTAACTGAGATGGACGTCTTTTTTCATTGATTTCAGGGCTTAGAGAGGCCAAAGGAGCCAGGACTGAGCTCCTTGCGGACCATAAGAGAACTTAAAGAAGGCATGGTTAGTACCTGCTTTTCTGATTAATTTCTGAAGATTTAGCATAAAAAAATCTTCTATTTTTTTCTGTTAACTGTGTGTGCTTTGTCGCGAATGCGACATTAATCAATTTAGTTCCTTGACTGTTTAAGACTACATTTTCTTTTTAGGCATTCTGGTAACGTTTTACCTTTTTCAGATTTTGAGAATTCCAACCTGATTCTTTTCATTATCCCATTTATGTTGCGTCTGATTACTCATGACCGATTTATTTGCTTTGTTATCTGTAGAATTCTGCAATATTGGGAACTTGTTCCCACTTCATTTCTTGTCAAATTCTTCATAAACAAGTTACTTTATTGTAGACATCAGGCTCCTGAGATCCATTTTCCTTCATGTCTCTCTTGAAATGAGATGATATAATGACCTTAATGGGTTCTTCGTAAATGATAATATTTTAGTGCAAACTGTTCAAGGTGCTTCAGTATATATCTCCTATCTGACAACGTAGCTGGAACTTAAACCCCCCTTTTTATCTCTGAAATTGCGGAGATAAATGAAGGGAAAAAAACGTTTGTGTAAAAATGGTACTACCACTGTCATCCTCCACCCTAGAACTTTGTGATCCTTGCTGAGAAGGGTCTGGACCGTGGGTGCCCTATCTTTTTTTCTTTTTTAGGCAGGGTGCCCTATCTATAGCAACAATAAACGTTTGAGCTCTTTATGGTATGTGTGTTGCAGGTTATCACAGTTGAGCCAGGTTGCTATTTCATTGATGCTTTGCTGATACCAGCCAGGGATGATCCAGTTTCCTCGAAGTTCTTCAACTGGGAAGAGATTGAAAAATACAAAAGCTTTGGTGGTGTTCGGATTGAGAGTGACGTGGTATGTCTATATTTCCCTGTTCTACATAACTAAACTAGTACTTTAAGAGGATCATGCAAGCATGCTCTCTTTAATGCTAGTGCTAGTACCAGGTGCAACAGTACTTGTAACAACTAACTTCCGGAGAGTAGTTACTAAATCTCAGTTGGACCTTTGAAACTATGATTACGATTTACGAGTCACATAAAATGGATCGAATGTATTGTGGTAGTGTCCTTGATGAGGCAAACTGTCTTGCATTAGCTGGATGGCATAGAAGGAAAAAGATACTAGGACTATAAGATAAAAAAAATAGTTTCTCTTACAACACGAGAGACTAATGGATCATTTCAGGCGGTGACTGCCTCACATCACATTGATGGATCAGAGTGCAATAGCTTATTGACAACAATCATGCTTGATTTGAATAACTAGAGTTAGATCTAGGAAACTAAGAATCCACTGCTGACTTTACCAACAGCTTCCTTGAGATGTATATGCTGATTGTAATGCATTTTAGATTTTTATTTAGTTTCAAGCTTTTAGACGTAATATTGAAGATTTTCTTACAACTTGATGAAGATGTTCTACTTTTTGTGGTTAAGCTGGAGATGCTTTGACATGCTCCACCACCTTTACAGCTATCTTGTTATTATTCCTTGTGAACCTCAAGGAATTCGATAAGCATATTAGACAAATGTTGACCCTTGTCCTGCCAAGTCTGAGTAGACAATGACACAAGTTCTACAAATCTTATTTCCCACTTAATATCTGTCGTGTTATTCATAGTGAAACACAAGGAAATCAATAAGCATATATTTAATGATGTCTACAATAGTGGCACCTGCTCTGTAAAGTTTGAATAGACGTTGGTATAAATTCCTCGAATCTTGTTTCCCTACTAAATCAGTCATACCTCAAAAACAGCACAAATTCCTGTGCGCACGCATTTGATACTCTATTTTGGTGTTGACTTCATCTCTTTCTCTAGTGAGAATTACTGCAATCAAATTTATCTTTTTATGCTTTAGCCCTTGTTAGAATGCTAAACTTAATCTTGACTATTAACATCATAATTATGTTGTTTCCAGTATGTGACGGCGCATGGATGCAAGAACCTGACAAACTGCCCCAGGGAGACCTGGGAAATCGAAGCTGTAATGGCTGGTGCGCCATGGCCTGTGCGTGCGACAAATAATAGCCTGTCCAAAGCGTCCTGACCACCTTACCTCAGTTTTTCAGTGCTCCTGAACCCTGTCCAAGCAGATACATATGGAGATAAAAATAGGTGAACCTCCTGGGGTTGTTGGTCTGATGTTCATCGGTCATTTCATATGTTAAATTGTAGGATCTGTTGAAGACGGTCCCCTCGAGTATCGTCCTTTGAAAACTGAAAGGTACAAATAAAAGATCAAGAAAACTGAAAAGTACAATAAAAAGATCAGCTTGAGAGGAAAAGATGCCGTTCAATTTCCTTGCGATTAGTTCAAACGTCTCTGTTCATAACCATCAACTCTATTGGCATGAGAACAGCATGAGGTGCATAATCATGCAACACTTGTTTTGTGCAATCACAGGACTAATGTGGTATCATTAAAATGTCTTGCTTCATTCTACAATCTAGTCGGTTTCAGTTTTATTTATGTTATTAAAAAAAATTTGTTTATGTTTTTTTCCCTTTAAATGTATATTTTTTAGTTTGTTTAGGCAGGGATGTACATCAACTTGTCATAACTTAAATGAAGCATTATTATGTTTGGTAATGGCCATGCTAATTTATAAATACCACACTTGAAGAATTTGGCAAATAAATGAACACTAACCTTCACCTACCTTAAGAGTTGGTGAGTTGGCATTTTGCTGCTTATTCGGCATGTACCTGCTGATATAAAAAACTGTGCCAACTTTTTTTGACATAAAAAATTGTGCTAACTCAGCACAAGATGCTCAATTAGCCTTATTTTGTTGAGCAGTTAACAGCATCATGGTTGGGTTCGAATGCAGATTTTTCTGTACATTATTTTGTACAGTTTTTTTTTTGTATGATAGATTAGTGATATACTCCATATCTGAAGCAAAACTGTGTCTTTCGCATCTTTTACAGCTGTTTTAGGGGGTATTGCTTCCTTTTCTACGGCAGTTTGGCAAGTTAACTCTTTTGCAGTTCTAAATTTTGTTATTTCTTGTATACTATTATGCTCTCCATTTTTGTTGTCCGATGACTTTCATTGAACCTGCAATACATGCACGGCGAAGATTGAAACATTGCACTTGGACTAAATTGTAATTTGCAACTAATTTCACATTACATACCTTCCCTTCTACACATGCATGGAAGAAGCTTATACTTCAGCTTAAAACAACAACCATGTATATACTTCTTTGCACTGCTAAACAAGTTGGTAAACTGGCAAAATCTGACGAAGCTTCTCGAACAGGGTAAAATAAAGGAAAAAGTACGAATTACCCCCCAACAACCGCGACAGTACGAATTACCCATCCGAACCTCAAAACCGGATATTTGATACCCTAAACTATTGAAACCGGACAAATTACCCCCCTAACTTGATTTGAAGCGGTTTTCAGCCTACGTGGCACACACGTGGCGATACAGTCAGCAAAAACAAATAAAAACAGGTGGAGCCCACCTGTCATTTTTTTCTCTCCTCTCCCTTCTCTCTCTCTCGGTCAACACAGGCTACGGCTGGCGGGCGGCGGGCGGCCGAGGAGCCGACGCCGACGGGCGGCAGGCGGGCGAGGACCGAGGAGCCGACGCCGACGGGCGGCCGGCGGGCGGGCGCGGAGGCGGCGGCAGGCGAGGAGCGGACGCCGATGGGCGGCCGGCGGCGGGGATGGCTGCGGGCGGTGGGCGTTGCGGGGGCGGAGGCCGAAGGCGGGCGGGCGCGGAGACCAAGGCCGGCGGCGGCCTGAGCAAGCTGCGCCGATCCTCCATCCCGCGAGGGTGGTGATGGCGCAATGCGGCCCACGACGGCGACTATGGCGAGCGGCCTCCCCCCTCTCTCTGTCTCTCTGCGGCCACATGGCTGACGCCGCCGCACCTGTACCTCGTCATCAACGCCATCATCCTGTCCATCGCGGCGTCGTCGCGGTTCTAGCCTAACCGCTCGCAGACCGCCTAGGGCCGATGCGTCGTTGGTGCGGCCGGCTCCGGTTCCTGTTCTAGTGCCGGTGGTGGCGGTGCCCGCGCCGGTGGTGACGATGCCGATGGAGGTGCCCGTTGTGCCGGTGCCGGCGCCGGAGGTGATGGCTCCCGAGCCCATTCCCGTGGAGGTGATGGTGCCGGAGGTGGGGGAGGCCGCTCGCCGTAGTCGCCATCATGGGCCGCGCCGCGCGCCATCACCACCCCCGCAACGCCCACCGCCGGCCTGGCGCCTTGCCGCAGTTGCCGCCGCTCGCCATAGTCGCCGCAACTGGACAGACGACGGCGGCGCCACCCTGCTTAGCTCGCGGGATGGAGGATCGGCGCAGCCTGCTCAGGCCGCCGCCGGCCTCGGCCTCCGCGCCCGCTCGCCTTCGGCCTCCGCCCCTGCAACGCCTACCATCCGCAGCCATCCCCGCCGCCGGCTGCCCATCGGCGTCCGCTCCTCGCCCGCCGCCGCCTCCGCGCCTGCCCGCCGGCCGCCCGTCGGCGTCGGCTCCTCGGTCCTCGCCCGCCCGCCGCCCGCCAGCCGCAGCATGTGTTGACTGAGAGAGAAGGGAGAGAAGGAGAGAAAAAACTGACAAGTGGGCCCCACATGTTTTTATTTGTTTTTGCTGACTGTATCGTCACGTGTGTGCCACGTAGGCTAAAAACCGCTTCAAATCGAGTTATGGGGGGTAATTTGTCCGGTTTCAATAGTTTAGGGTATCAAATGTCCGGTTTTGAGGTTCGGGGGGGGGGTAATTCGTACTGTCGCGATTGTTCAGGGGGGTAATTTGTACTTTTTCCTAAAATAAATGGATGGCTTCTGCTCTAGACAAGCTGCCCTACTACCTCTGTTCCAAAATGTTGCATCCAGGATGGGATTAGATTCATCCTAATATAACGAATATTAATAGAGGTAATCCAGATTCTTTATAATCATAGTTATTAAGACCGGTCTGGACCGGTGGTTGGACCGGGGAAAAGCGGAATCAGCGCCTCCATCGGTCTGGTTCGGATAAAAGATGTTACAAACTTATAATAATGATGTGAATTTTCTTCAGAGCAAAGACATTTTCCAGTTGTCTGCATTTGGCTGCAACAGATTAAAGAAATATGGATTGAAGACGGAACTGAAAAAGCTCAGACAGAAGGGTTGCTTGTATTGTTGTGAACAAATTCCTTGTTCTTTCTGCATCTCTCAACACATGTGGCCTTCCATGAAAGCAGCCATGAGCCCATACTACTATACAAGTTGCTTGTATCAGTACGGGTTTCTCTTCTCTTCTGGCGGCTATGTTTGGTGAACTGAACCCATTTCAATGCTTATTATAAAAATTATGGCAAACCTGGTGGCACCCATGCCGTTCATTTACCAATGAACTCCATTTTGTATATTTCATTCTCACATTGCGAAACCCTACCCGATCTTTCAATCAGTGGAATTGAGTGGAGCAAGGCATCCTAGCTTTTAGATAATCGTGATTCTTTTGTTAGATTTTAATACACTTAGACATGTACGTATCTTGGCTAAACTCGAACTATAGTTGATTTAATACTGATGTACTCGGTAAAGAATAAAAAGGTACTTGAAGACAACTTCGAATGGGAGGAGGTTTTCTTTTTACCCTCCTAACCGCCTGTGACTTTATTATTGCTAGGTATGATATTGGCTTAAAGACATAGCATTGAAAGAGTGAGTAATCAACATGAAATCCAGTCTCCTTGTAAATTCGATTAGACGACTGAAACCAAAGTCTCTGGGGAGAAGAGTTAGACAGATCTAGTAGTAATATGTATTGTTTTCTCCTCAAAAGAAAAAGCACTTGCCCTCCTTTGAAATGCAGAATTTTATAGGAAATTCATGGAATTAGTTCATGAAATTCTCGCAGGAATCTTCCAAATTCGTGTGTTCGAAAGGAATCCTATACTCCTATATATTTTCAAAGTGCATTTGGGCCCATTTGAGTAGCTAAAATTGATGGATAATTTGATTTTTGTGGTAGCTATTTGAGGGTATAAATGAATAAATTAACTACTACAAAGTTAAAAGTTACTCTAGAAAAGTATTCCAAATGAAGTTTACATAGAAAATTTATACAAGAAATTCACTGTTTTAGGAGCTTGGGAAGTGTGCAAACGAAAATCCAAAATCTAGAACTAGAAAGAAAAAGGGTCCATGGTATTATTGGGAGCTAATTGCAGATATTTTATTAGCCTTAAACTCCATTTATTGTTTTTATATGATTGGGAATTAGTCAAGCATTTTGGAGGCTCCACGAGCCAATTATGTATCATGGCGCCATGGTTAGTTCATACATCGCTACATAAATTGAGAAATCTCATTCGTTTATTATGTAGACATGATTATTATGGCCAAGTACACGTTCATGTATCTACATCAAAGAGAGGTACCATTACAAGGACAAGATTAATAATTCGGATTCGGCGAGTTCTTCTTTTCTCCAGCTGTCCTCTTGGCCCCTAGTGATCAGGTTTCTCAACTCTAATGCCTCCATGGTTGAAACTTATTTGTATTCTTGTGTGATTTCTCTTACTTCTCTAACGAACCTCTCCTTTTCACACAAGTGGCCAAACGCCATGCTGCTAACTCCCCCAGAATGGGGCCTCTCCAAATTAAGGAGAATATTCATTGGCAGGTGATCCAATTCCTCTTTGACCACATGATTAATTATTATGTGTTGAAATTTTAAGGGCTCCATTGGCCATGTTTAGTTTAGATTATTGAGGTGTCGCGAATTTAGATTATTGGCCATGCTAAATCAAATATTTTTTAAAATAAAATTAATAAATAGCTTAAAACAAGTGGTCATACATGAGAAGAAAGTTTTTTAAGAATTTTATAAGCGTGGAGCAAATAATCCTGATGAATAAGATAGAAAAGAACATGACCTTAGTGGTTTATAAGTATTTCAGTATTTCACAGGAAATTGTATGGTGAGGAATGAAAATCAGGGAAAAAAAGTAGTGTTCTAAACAATCTCTGAGCAAATAATCACAATTGCAAGTTTGAGAGCTAGAGAGATATTTTAGTCGGAAGCGTAGCTTGATGGTTTGTAATAGAAGTCCATTTCTCGCCGCAAATTGCGCTTTTAAAAGTCCTTATCGTTAGAAGTATTTAATTTTAATTTTGTTAGGGTTTTATGTGCTGATGGGTTAGTGGAGTAAACAATAAGTTGAAATGGACTAATATCTTACTTATTTTAGTCAGGAAATAAGGGAGAAATCTTATTGGTTCCACATCAGTTAGGCCATGTAAGAAACTAATATTCATAGGAATTATATGGTGACAATGTTGTGTAAATCCAATTTCTTGACCTCCCTGTTCTATATATGGATTGCGACATGACATGGATGTTTTAACTTGTAGTAGGTAATGCTGAATTGTAGAGACAAGCTTAACTCCCATTGTTTATTAATTTTTTTTATCTAATGCCGTTTCATTAGGGAAAAAAACTTAGGACAAAAAAAATGTAGTATTTTATGGTGGCTAACTTGATCCATATGTTCAATTGAGCTGTGGTATCCACTTGATAATAATAATTCGTAAGGCAATAGCAGGGCACCAATTTTTTTTATTTTTTTTGCGACATGCCAAAT